TTCTAGGCAAACCATAATATTACATTTCTGTTAATGCGCGGACTCGGAGCCAGGGTCAACCCTATCGTTGTTACATTTTGAAAAATTTTTACGACCCCCTTCTCCACTCAACCCACCAAACTCCGCCCACTTTTTCCTCCAAAAATGCCGTCGAGCGGGGGGGGGTATATAGCTACTCTGAAACAGTAAAAATTCCCTATCTCCGCCATTTTACTCCAATTCTACCGGCTTTTACCTATATTTACCTATACCCCTTCAGTTTCACCTCAAACTCACATGTGATTTCAAGCGACTGAAACGGGTACGACCCCCCTCCTACAAACTCAACCAAGTACGACCCCCCCGTTGTTACTAGTAACAACGTAGGGTTGACCCTGCTCGGAACTCTCTGGGAAAGCGTCCAGCTGCGATGGTGAAATATAACTGTTCATGTAAGTTTTATTGTGTTTGTGAATTTGACGTTGTTGTATTCGTAGACAAACAATTCAATCAAGCTATTTATTTCTATTCGTTCTTCAAAATTCATTTCTGAAAAATAGTGGTAAGATCCTCTTCATAAAGTGACTCCAAATTGGAAATCATCGCCATTTTTATTGAAGAAGAAACCCAATCCCTGAAGTGGTCCGAATGGCCCTAAAAGACCTGCTCCAAGTGCTCCCAGTGCTCCAAGTGGTCCAAGAAGACCTGGTCCAAATCCGCCATAAGGACATACGGGAGCACACGGCACACACATAGTGGGACCACAGATATACTTTGCCTTTTTGGGTTCAGCAGTCTTTATCAAAGCTTCAGACGGCGTGGTTGCGGCCTCCTCATCGGGCTGTGCGACTGTTCCGCCAGAAGCCTCGTCCGAAGGGACGGTTTCGCCAATAGATTCGATAGACGTTTCTGCTTTAGGAGAAACCTCATCGGACGTTGTTATTTCAGCAATCGTCTCGTCAGAGGTCATTTGTTCAGCAGACGCCTCATCAGACATTGCTTTTTCAGATGTCTCGCCGCCAGGTGAAGGCGTATGAGCGAACGTCGTTTCGGGCGTTCCCTCCTCTCTCTGAAAAGATCTAGCGCAAATCTTGTCGTACTTTGTCGTGCAGTCAGTTTTGTATAAATTGAACAATGAAAATTCCAACAAAGCCCCACAATGCATGTCTTGCGCCTTGGCTTAATATTAGAAATTACGTATGTGCAATGAAATGATATAATACATAAAGTGGACAGAAAGTCTCTTCTGAGCTCTGCATTTGGCCTATTCATGTTTTGCTATATTATATGTTAATGATTTTACAGGAAAATTCAAAGGCGCTCACAGGCGATCACAAAGCGCCGGGACACCTACACCAACAACATTGGAAGGGCTTGCATCAAAAACAAGTGCGTGCAGTTTCGCACCATCTGCCTGTAGGCCACCTACACGAATGAATGTTAAGGTGGATTCGAATTTCCACAACGTGACTGCACCTTATACAATTACCACTGAAAACCAACAAAAGAATTGGACTCAACTACTCTGAAGGATTTATGACACTTGTGGCTTCTTCAACGAAATAACTCGTTGCTATCCCGCCAATTCACTTGCATCATGTTATACAGCACTTTCCCAGTGGATGGAGTGAAACTCGATTTTTTGGGAAGTTACGAGCGATGGCGTAGGTCATTGCGAAATTTTTGATTACAATTTTTTGCGTTGGCCGGTCAGCTTTCCAACTGAAGTCAATCGTCGAAGAGAATGTGATATTCTTTTTCCAGCCAAGATAAACGTATCTGGTACTCACTGTTTTGGGAAACGCAGCCACGGATACCGTTAATATAAAGAGCGTACCGAAATACATCTGAAATACACTGGAATAAGATTAGCTTTGATGTGTCTATGTTACTATAAACTTGGACTTAAAATGGTTTCGGTTACAAACTGCATGGAATATTGTTACCTTTAAGGTTAAATTCGAATATATATATCCAGGAGCCCAAAGCTGGGGCCTCGAGAGTCGTTAACTACAGAACAAATCAGACGGCATCGATTTCAGAAGACTCTTTATATGACAGCTGGACGCACATTTTTCTTCAAGGCCCTCTTTTTGAAGGCAGAACATTGCGCCGTGAATGGATCACTCATGTTGTCAGCCCATAACGTATCCGTCGGTGCCGTAATAAGGAAGTGAAACCCTTGTAGCGCAAGAGCGGCCCACGGTTGGACGTAACACCAGCCGCCCACTCGCTTCCTTTTAGTCATAAAATTTAATGTGATCCCAAAAAAGTTTACAGAAGGATTTGTGATGAGCTGGCTGGTGATGATGTGATGACTAATCACAAAAGCTTCGGAGAAGAGAGGGTCAAGGGATTCTTTCAGAGAAGCAATAGTGCTACTCTCCTCCTTTTCCACCATCAGGATTCGAGAACAGAGGAGACGATGATCAGGTATGTCTGTTTGTATCATCTATCATAAATTCTTTCATCACTTGGATCTCCAGAGAAAATCTTTCCAAACAACGCCTAAAGCTCTGCTTGTCAATAATTTGTTTTATACAGCAATGTTGATGTTCACAGTTTATTTCATAAGATATGCAAAAAGGAAAGAGCAAATCGATGCGATTAAGAGATTAGTTCTAATTCAGGCCAAATTCTCGTTCTTATTCAGGCACGTTCGTAGTTATCCCAGTAATCCGAATGGCCCAAAAATAGCTGCTCCAAGTGCTCCTATCGGCCCAAGAAGACCTCCTCCAAATCCACCATAGGGACACACGTTAACACACGGCACACACACAACGGGACCACAAATGTATTTTGCCTTGCTAGGCTCTTTGGTGATCGGCTCCAGTGAAGTCTCAGGCCGCAGTGTTGTGGTTTCTTTGTCAGAATGTGTGACTGTTCCGGTAGACGTCACATCGGACGGTACCGTCTCCATAGATGTTCTGCCAGAGGTGACTGTCTCCACAGAAGTGCTCTCAATGGTTGCTGTTCCAGCAGAAGTCCCGCCTGATGTTACTGTTTCAGCAGTGGTCTCGTCAGAAGTCACAGTTCCAGTGGAAGTCTCGCCTGATGTTTCTGAATCCACAGAAGTCCCGTCTGATGTTACCGTTGCAGCAGTGGTCTCGTTAGAAGTTACTGTTTCGGTAGAAGTCTCGCCTGATGTTTCTGATTCTGCAGAAGTTTCGCCAGACGTCATTGCCTCAGAAGGTTCCTCGTTGGTCGACAGAGTACTAGCAGCAGTCGTTTCTACCTGCCTCTTCTGGAACACATAATAGAATTTCAGAGCTCTGCTAAATGCTTTCAGTTTTGTCTTGCAGTCATTCAATAGTAGAACAATAAAGTTGGGAAGTTCAAAATAAATCGTATCTATGAAAAATAGCCAAATTTCTTGTAATATTTTTCCTGTCACTTGCTTTGAATTACGGGGTTGATAGCTATGCAGTGCGATGCCAGTCTACCTTATTCACAGTAAATTATCAATCGACCATTGGGAGGCTCCATTGGTGGAACCCTTTGATGATTTCCTTACAAGCTCTAGATAAGTTTCTTTCTTTATTTTTTAGCGTTTTCCCATTTTCCTTCTCTATTTGTTAGCATGTGGCCTTCACTATCTCATCTTTCGCGCTAATACATCGTGTAGAAACAAGTACTAAGCATCACTTTTTTTCATATTTTAAAAGAAATCAGGTAAAACCATGCATTTATTTTAGCTACTTGGTTTAGAGAGTTGAGCCCTTCTCTTGTTTATAATTTACAGGTTGATTATTAGCTGCCTATTGTTACCGATTACGTCATCGTATTGTTCAGTGGCTGATATGGCAATCGACCTGCAACCTTAATAGCTTCTCGAAACACCCCACACAAATTATGGACCAGATTAGTCCCCCGTCAACCGCCGAGGACCTTCCTTTCCTGCGCACTTTTCTATCTTCCGCTGTGGTTCCCTTCCCCTGTGACACCAACACCTCGTGGAGCTGACGCGCATGCAACAAAAAGGAGCTTCATATAGTAAAGGGAATCGACATAACGTGGTCGTGATGGTAAATTTTCCGTCTCTCCTCCCCATCCTCTTCCCTTAGCTGCAGCACCATGTGGAAAGACCGGAAGTGTGCTCAGTA